ACAGTAACAAGGAAGGAGAAAACATTAAAACAAGTCACTTACACACAATGTCGTCTTTATCAACATCGTGCAAATCCGAGCAAATAGGAGGTCACCGCCTCATTGTGAGGCGACTGTAGTCTGTGGAAAAAAAAAAAAAGTACAGCTATGGTCGGTATCCATCCGTATCCATGTCCTTTTACCGCAGAATGAAAGCATATTCTTTAAACCTTACCCCTGCCGGTTCATAGCGCCTGCAATTAGTCTCCGAGTTGTTAAGACGGCATAATGCTTCCTGTGAATCACAAAAAATACACTTTAGTAAAGCTTTAGGCTAGGCTGCTTTTAGCTTACCTAGCTAGGCTAGGCTGTCTTTAGCTTGCCTAGCTAAGCTAGGCTGCTTTTAGCATAGCTACCAGTAATCGAACATATATTTACCGCTAGCTTGGCGTTGTGCACCCATCTTCTCTTCCTCGAGTTCGTATATCCCGCAAAGTTGCTCGACTGCAGATAGGGTGGCCAGATGTCCGGCTTTAGGGCGGACAGTCCGGATTTTCATTGCACTGTCCGGCGTCCGGCGCTGCACCCAGCCGGACGTGTATTTGTCCTCCTTTACCCCCAGATTCCACATACTCCGTCAGCGCTCCGCCCCGCTCACGTACGGAGTACTTGTCTGTCTTCTTCTTCTTCTTGTCGAGTTTTATGGCAGTTGGCAACAAACTGTTAGTAGCATTACCGCCACTTACTGGTATGGAGTGTGGTTCGTGATGGTTTAAATATTGATCCTGATACATTCTACCCTAACTTCTTCTAAACATACATTCACACATTCACACTTAAAAATATAAACATATTTGTGCACAGCTTTGTATATCATTCCTTCACTCACAAACACACTTACTATAATTAAATTCTATGGAATAATTTCGTTTTCTTTAGAAATCGAATAATTATTTGTATGTGTTTACTCCCTAAATTTTTCCTCAGTATATCTAATAAATTAACCTTCTCCTTAATGTCTTCAAACTCTCTTCTCATATATCTTCTCTCTTTTTCATATTTATGACATTCTAATATAACATGTTCTATGGTTTCATATTTATCACAGAAATCACATTTGCCCGTTTTATGTTTTTGTATTTTAAAAAGTGTATGATTAAGTCCTGTATGACCAAATCTTAACCTTGTTATCACTCTTTCATCCTTTCTATTTCTTCTTCCATTTCTTCTTTCTCCTACCATCTTCTGAATTTTATAAAACCATCTTCCTGTTTTATCTTCATCCCACCTTTTTTGCCAAATTTCCATAAGTTTCTCTTTAATAATACTCTTTCCTTCTGATTTACTTATTTTAACTATAAAACTAATAGAATGTTTAATTGCCCTTTTTGCCATTTTATCTGCCCTCTCGTTTCCTTCCACCCCAATATGTGCTGGAACCCACACAAATGTAACTATCAGCCCCATGTTTCGTATTCTGAACAGTGTATGATTTATTTCTAATAAAATGTCCATCCTACTATCTGTATTACTTGTCTGTCATGTAAATCAATGAGAGCTGTTCCACATCCTCCGCTCGTCACCGCCCACGTACGTCTTCTCCGTCCTTCACCGTCAAAATACGGAGCTGAGCTATTTTTTGCTCCCCTCCGGTCCGTCCAGATCAAGACCCGCTATTGCAATCGCACCAAACAGAAAAAAGAATGTAGAGAAGACCCGGTTTGTCAAATTAAATTATAGTAAAAACAGATCGGTATCTAGAAATTAGAGCATAGTTTGTATATATTCCCAAAAACTAAAACAATAAATTTAGATTTTATTTCCTGGCAAAACATTCAATTCGGTTTATCCATTAAAGAAAAAAAAATTTGGAATTTTTAATCAATATTCTAATAATTGTAACAAAGTATTATATCCATAAATGTCGCTATGCAAAATGCTCCCTCCCAATCTCTGCTCTCAAAAATGAACTTTCCCTTTTCAAAAGATGTCTGAGAAAGATGCAGAATTTAAATGCAATTAAATTGTTTGAGTTAATTGAAGAATTTCAGTTGGTAGTCCCCACTGATTAATTTACTTTAACTACTATTATTATTTTATTTATTTTTATTTATTTTATTTTATTTTATACTTTGTTCCAGCCTGTGCATTTAATTTTATTTTTCAAAAGCAGGAGTTGTGATATTTCTTCTTGTATTGAAATATTTGTTATTGACTTGTTACTTGAGATTGTTATTGTTTTCTTATATATTCAATAACAAAAAAAAAAAAAGTGGAAATCTAAAAAAAAAAATTAACCATTACAGCCAACTGATTCTGATTAAAACTAATTTTTGAAGTAAATTATTTTGTGTATTTTTTTTACATAACATTTGCATACACTGTAATCTAGCGTACTTTAATTAAATAAATCAATTCAAGCTAAAATGTAAGAGTCTATAATTAGGCTATACTGAGCCTGATCTATTTCTACCATCTATTTGGGGGATATTTATTGCCACACTTTGGGCCACTTAATACCAATTTAGCATGCTGACCTATGACCTTATGACCACAGTGTACCAATCTTCTGATGGCTACTTCCAACAGGATAATGCGCCATGTTATAAAGTGAATCATCTCAGAATCATTTCTTGAAACTTTTCCACTTAAGTAATTGTGAATTGAGCATATTGACAGACAACATTTTATTTTTTATCTTAAATGCAAATTTAAAAAAAAAAAAATTACTGCTCTAAATGTATTGCTCTGTCGGCTAAAGATCTGTTTTGGTCTCTATACTTTAATTAAATAAATCAATTCAAGCTCAAATGTAAGAGGCTATACCTGATCTCTTTGTATCAGAGATTTTCTTACCCAGGGTTGCAGGGGGGGGTTTTACCCCCCCCCCTGCAACCCTGGTTTGAATTTGTATAGCTCACAGCATGTTCATTTACATGTTAAAGCCTCCCCTAGAATTCCATGGGGGGGAGGCATGGGGGGAACACTGCCTAAGAAATTCCACGTCAATTTCTGACAATTTACGGGAGTTTTCGTCGAAGCCTGCAAATTGCCGTATACTGCCGCTAACCTGAAGTTCCACGACAATCTACAGTGCCGTATATTGACGAAAATCCCACTTTTCATGCAGTGAGTGGTCTGTTATTTGATTCCAAAACATTAAGGGAGATTATTTAATTTTGCAACAACACAGTGTTGCTATTGGCCTCACAAACCTATAAGATATGGGTCTAGCGCCCCTAGTGGCTAAATGTTGGACAGTACTGTTTTAAGTTCTTGCGATGATGCATAATTTGTTTTGACAAACACTATATTGAAAATGATTTCAAACTTGAGTAATTTAACTTTGATTTTACCATTTGGAATACCCTGTTGGAAATATTATGAACACAACCTAATATAATTTGTATATTGGGTCAACAGAAAGTGAATTATGGTGCACCTTGTAAAGATATGAAATGGCTCAAGTGCATCATCTGAAAGTGAAGCACTTGGTTAACAGGCCATGGCATCCCTGAAACTAACAGGAGAATCAAGAACACAGAATACAAGAAGAGGCTCCTACTGTACATTAGCTCCTAAATGTTTGTACCTTCCTCCTATTTCTGGTTCCTTTCATTTCACATTTTACAGGATCAAAAGTAAGAACACTATCCTAGATAGGAAGAAACTCAATTCTACTCTGCTGAATCCTGACAGACTCCAGCCTTATGGACACCCATAGGGATGATGCTAGTCAAATTAAAACTACAGTCTTCAGGAAAATAACTACAAAAAACTCAAGTTACAATATTTTATCAAACGCTGAAACTTTACCCATCATAAGAGCCGAAAACAATGAAGATATTCACGCTTTGCCAATATGGCTGATGATCTTCTACTTTAGATTAAGAAATCTTATCGATCTGCACTTTTCAGGAGCAGCAAAACTCTCCCCTTATGGATTATCAGACATTATTGAATGCTTCAGTCTGTTTTTACTGACATGCAGTGGGACTGCAGCAAACCTCTGGAGGAATTTGCACAAGGTTAAACTTAAAACTTACACGCTGATTTACCAAAATATATTTAAGCAATACAGCATGGAAACATATATGTGGAGTTGATGGATGCTCCATTGAGCAAAAAAAAAAAAAAAAAAAAACATATTTACATAAGCTGAATCCTTAATTTGCAAGAAAGATGAACTGTTGCGGGATGTGTGAATTCACAAACTCCCAAAAATGCATCTTGCCAGAAGTAAATGGATACATTAGAAAAGTTTATGAATCAGTAAATCCTGTGTGTCGTGTATAATGTCAACCAGAATCGCCAGGCTAAAGCAAAGCAAACATGGCTGCACCGGCACCGTAGTATACTTGTAGACTAAGCTATTCAGTCTGTTTTAGGTGGAAAACTCTTTCTTTGTTTGAAAGATGAGCAAAAAGGCACGATTTGTTCCTTCATGGATGGGAGAGATATTTGCATGTTCCTTCTGACCAGACTTGAGAGGAGTTTGATTTATCAGTTAACTCAGCAAGTTATGAAACAAATCAAGAATAGATTTGTGAGCCTGCTGCTCCACTGGAGGCTTTCCAGATGGATAATGTGTAGAATTCAAATTGAACTACACACATCGACCTGGTTTATGCTAGGTTAGATTACAAGTGCATGCCACACTTTTCAGATTTATGATTATATCATAAAGAAATGTAGTAAAACATCTATTTTTCTATTTCATATTTAGAGTATGTGTTACTTTCTGTTGGCCTATAATCCTAAAGCGCAAGTTAAAATGTTAAAATTTAATAAGTGAGTAAGATTGTCAAAGACATTTTTTTCTTTTTAGAAATAAACATTTTTTCCTGTTTACTCCTAGATTTACGCATATACCCTGGGGGAAAATGTGGGGATTTGTTTATTTAATCTGAGTGTTTTTCTACAGAAAATGTGTTGGGTGGATGTCGGTAGAAGTGATTGGATCACTGTTTGGTGCAGGTCTCACTGTACATGGCGCGCGCCCCCAGGGTTTCCTCTCTCCATCCGTTTGGAGGTGGGCCGCGTCACACCCCCTGCCTTTAAGAAGGGCTCCAACTAAACCCGAGATACCAGCAGAGAGGAACCGCTTCTGCTCCGAACATATCAATTCAAACGAAGCCTTTTAAAGTTTGAAAGCACCGCAGCAGTCATGACGCAAGGTAAGAAGACGCAGCAGCGCGCTTTGGTTGGTTCTAACTTCTGGTTGTTAGAAGGAGATGCGCTAGACTGTTACTTACGCTACGATTTTCAGTCTTGTTTGGTTGCGGGTTTTTATTTAATTGTGTCTTTTTTGATGTATTTATATCTTTTAACAATAGATATATTCAGATAAGATTATCTTTTTCCAAAGTGAAATCAATCATAAATTTAAATTGGGTTTGTATAAAATGCTACAGTGCCAGTGATCAATAAGGTCTTACATTTTAGATTTTAAAGCTCAGTCAGTGGCTTATCTGATCCAGAGAAAGCTGGTTCCAGGGCCAACCGCCCCTCACTGTTTAGATTAGAAGATCTGTGTTGGTGTCAGACCATTTAGAACTTTTTAAAAGGAACAAGAGCCTATAATCTTCTAAAAAAAAGAAAAAAAAAAAAAAGAAAAGGGTGATGGGGATGTGCGCGTCTGAAGGTGTCAATAACAATTTGGTCTGTAAGACCTTTCAAGGGACAGCTGAGAGATACAGACATAAAAACACAAATAATAATCAGTAATCAATCAATCAATCAATCAATCAATCAATCAATCAATCATTTAGTTGGTAAAAGTGTGTATAATCTTCTCTAGTTTAACATGGTTTTAAAAAGCAGCCAAATCCTTTCAATATTATAAGCGCATATAGATGTAAACATTTGCGAATTAAGTCGGCCAAATTCACAATATATCTATCTATCTATCTATCTATCTATCTATCTATCTATCTATCTATCTATCTATCTATCTATCTATCTATCTATCTATCTATCTATCTATCTATCTATCTATCTATCTATCTATCTATCTATCTATCTATCTATCTATCTATCTATCTATCGACCTTGGAGTTTAAACAGGACATATGCATGAATTAATACTTTATTTCAGACAATCAGCATCCATTAAATTATTAAAAGCACATATTTCGAATGTTATATATAATTATATGTATGTTTGATCATCATGTTATGAAGAAGTTAAACGTTTTTAATCTAACCACTTCTCACCCTTCATCAAAGTTTAATTTTGTTTAGTTATTTTATTGAGTACTTGAAGTCTAAAGAAGGACAAAAAAGTTACATTTAGGATCTTAAGGTGCTCTGTGGATGGTATTTTGTGTTTGGGTTATACTATACAATAGTAGATATTTTTGTTATTTTTTCAAAGCTTTAATTGTGGAACTGCTTAAAAAGGTTCTGGATTTCAGGTTTACCAAAGTCATGAATCTTCCATGTTTAGTTTTAATGTCCAGCTATGGGATGCTAAAGCTCCGAGTGGGTATAATTCTGTTGTTGGTGTATTAACCCACATGTCATTACCCCCAGTTTCTGCTTTGCTACATAATCACTTGTCCTATCAAACTATAAAGAAAGGGCCAAACTTAGGGCAGTGCAATGCTATGCAACCTGGAGTGGGGTGGGGTTTAAAGTGCTATGTTTGCATTTGAAGAGACTGCATCAACACCAGTTACTCTTGGATGTACCATAGGGAAGGATTGAAACGGATACCCGAGGAGTGATATTGAGGAATTCAGACCAAACCACTGCATTTCCTCTTTATATAGACCATAACTGATTGATTTCAATAGAAAAAAGAAGGATTTAAAATAATTAAATTACCCCTTTAAGTTTAAAGTTTAACGTTAATCTTTTATATTTGCCTTTTTCTGTGAAAGCAAGCATATTGTCAAACCTCCTAAAAAAAGACCAGTGTGTTCATATTTTTGCACCTTCTTCAGTAAATCTGCAGTTCGAGGTGTAAAGTACAAAGTTAAATTCTAACCCTCCAAGTGTTAGAAATACAGTGTTCCCGAATGTCAGCTGTTGGTTTTTGCAAACACAACATTTGAATGAAGTCAATCATACCTTTTTTAGCGATTAGAAACAATGCAGGCTCTTAAAACACTCATGAATAGATCCAGGTATGGTTTAAAGACATAACTCTGTCTTTGAAAATAAAAGAAAAATTATCTCTAATTTATAATACTATATTTATTTATGTATAACTTAATAATAGACTCATTAAATCATCTGTTTGTGTTGAAAATCATGGTCTTGAAATAAACAATGTGTGGTTCTGGACCCTTGTTGATTGTAATGTTATTTTTGATTCTTTCAGTTTAAACCCTCACATAGTTGTCTTGCTGTAATCATGCCGTCCCCTATGCAAGCACATTTTATAAGGAAGGAGCCCTGCAGCAAAGTACCAGAAAGAATACTGAATAAACTGACATCTAAAAGAATCAAAACTATTTCATCCCCTCGGTTTAAGAAGAGAACAGTTGCTCTGGGATTATAGCAGCAGCTGAGAACAGGTGCGGCTCCACAGAGCTTTCACTAATTTAGCCTATTGGCTATTTGAAGGCACGCAGGCTCCTAAAATTAGTTGCTTTAGACCCTAGTGGAGACATTCAGACGTCTTCTGTGAACAAGCCTCAATGTTTGTCTTTTAACCTAGGTGTCAAGCTGAAAAAAGATGTAAATAAAGACTCTTTCATTGGGCTTTGGGCACTTTTTTCTGTTTAAACTGCATGTTGTTTTACGTGAAGTCACCAGAACTTCTGAAAAGCAAACAGAAATTGTTTTCCCTTCTCTTTGAACATTTTCATCAAAACAGCTAATTTTCAGTCAACAAATTGTTGCTAAACACCCTCACACCATCATAAATGTCAAACCTTTTCTAAATGCACAAAGAATTCATTTTTAGATGTTGAAAGGTCGGCAGTGTAGACAGAGTGAGTGTTACCTCAGGGATGAAAACCTCTCTCACATCAGAGCATTTGTTTGTTTGAATTTCTTTAAATAGAATAATGTTTGTTGTCCTTTCTGCCACGTTAGGTCATGTTGATTAAATTTTCCTTTTAAGACTCACACTGAACTCAGTGTTACTGATGATAGAGTCGCTTTGTGTAATGGGCTTAGGTTCAAGGAGGAGGAGTAGCTTAGGCACATACCATAGAAAAGGCAGGAAATCTAAGGAATATCTTTCTCTAGAATCCAATTCTTAGTTAATAAGTCCTACATATTTAGCCACAAGTCAAGGATGAAAGTTCCACCTTTGATTACATGTGTGCAGGATCTGGGATATAGTGTTTCATTTTTTCTTGTTTTGTTTATAATCACTAACAGCAGGCATAAACCTCTATACAAAGTTGTGCATCTGTTTCTCATTCCTCATTCTGCCATTATATGCTGCTTACATATGTTCACCATTAAGTAATCGACTTCTTAAACTGCCAAATTTGGTTTGGTTTGCTCTAGTCGTGGGTCAAACATGGACCTCGTTAGTTGTGGGTTTTCTCTAAAGCATTAGATTATTTAGTTAGGGTTAGAAAACTTCCATTCCTAACAAACACAAACAGGAACACCAAGAAAGACATATTTCACTTCAATAAATGTAACAAATTCAGAAGCAAAAATGTAATTTTAAACCCCCCCTCTGTTTATGTCAATCAGTCAAGTTAGAATTTTGTTTCTAGTTAGACTGTAGACACTAAAAACAACATTTCAGTCAGTAGTAACAATATTATAAGCACAGCTTTAGCTTTGACTTGAACCATTCATACTTGGTTCAAGTCTTATCGCTCTTGAAATCAAATGTTTTTTTATTTTCATTTTTTAACACTAGATCTTAGTCTTCATTATGTACACAGTTGAGCTGGGAGGTGCTAACTGGCTTAACTTATTTCTTCCTTGTTTACCTCAATGTTGTGCCAGTTCATAGTTAAAAAGTTAGTGGTAGTGGTTTTCTGCTCTAGTCCATCTATGTCTTGTTCCAGTAGCCAATTTGTCATCAAGTTGCCCTGGTTCCTACTCATCACTCATGCCTGAGGTAGGCCACTAAGCACAAAGGACCTTGCCTAAGGGTCCACCTGGATGTCCATGTCGGGAATCGAACCCCGGTCACCTGTGCCGGAGTCGTATATATATATATATATATATATATATATATATATATATATATATATATATATATATATATATATATATATATATATATATATACCCTCAAACTCCCCTCGTGGGGTGGTATGGCCTCCCAGGCCTCTGGTAGAGGACCCGAGCTTGAGGATGACACATACCACCCCACGAGGGGTGAGAAAACAGTTATATATATATATATATATATATATATATATATATATATATATATATATATATATATATATATATATATATATATATATATATATATATATATATATATATATAGATATAGATAGATAGATAAACTTTATTCCGGACTCATGGTCCAATACATACATACATAAAAATAAAATAAAAATAGTTAATGATAAAAACACAATACAAGTACCATTATCGATTAAATAGGATCTTTAAGAAGACAGGAATACCAGTGTCTCCACAGCTTAGACTGATATCGGATTGCACTACGTGTGGTATCAGTGAGTGACAAAATAATATCGTTTTCAGATGCATTTAACCTACAAATAAACTTATACATTAACTTTCGTAGAACAGCTTGTAGGGTATTAACTCTTGCTGTGACAAACATCTCACTTGCACTGGACCATCTTGGGCGTTTCAAAAGTAACCGCATAGCATCATTATAGGCCACCTGCAGCCTTTGCAGGTTGACTTTTCTATAGGTAGTCCACAGGTGAGCAGTGTACAGAGAGGTACAATATGCATTAAACAGTTCCACTTTGACTTTATCAGTACATGAACCGAATTTACGTGCAAGGGTATTAGCTTGAGCATACAACAATCTACGCTGTCTGCAAATATCTTCATCGTCTGACAGATTTTCTGTGATGATGTGCCCAAGATACTTGGTTTTATTTGTTACGCCCAGCACAGTATTTGACAGCAAAAAATCTGGAAACTCAGTAGATTTATCTTCCTTACTCCTACAGATCATGATCACACTTTTAGATGGATTGTACTTTATGTCGTGTTCCAGACCATACTCAGAGCAGATGTTTAGTAGTTGCTGTAACCCAGCAGTACTAGGGCTAAATATTACTAAATCATCTGCATACATCAGGTGATTAAGTACCGAGTCACCAGCCACACAACCAGTGTGACAAGCTCTCAACTTGTGTGACAGTTCATCCAGATACAAGTTAAAGAGAACTGGGGACAAAATCCCGCCCTGCCTCACCCCATTACTAACTTTGAATGGAGCAGAGACACATTCCCCCCATTTAATCTGCAGTGTTTGCTGAGTATACCAGTACTTCAAAATACGAACAATATACTCTGGTACTCCTTTTTGTGTCAGTTTTGTGAATAGTTTTCTGTGGTTTACCCTATCAAATGCTTTTGATGCATCCAGGAAACACATAAACACTGAAGAGTTCTGCTTATTATATTTATAAGTAATCTCTTTTAGAGCATATATACACATATCTGTGCCCAGCCTAGCCTTAAAACCAAACTGGTTATCTGTAGACTTGACAACCTCTAAAATCCTGTCCAGCAGGATTGATTCAATAATTTTTGAAACTATGCTGGCCAGCGCTATCGGACGGTAATTATCAGAATTGCCAATGTTTCCAGTTTTGTCTTTAATGACGGGTACTAACAGGACACTTAAAATAGAGTCAGGTAAAAGCCCATGAATAAAAAACGATGTGAAACAAATGGAAAGTAGAGGAGCTAGCCTTGCATTTGCATACTTTAAATGTTCAGCTGAGACTCCATCCAGCCCAGTGGCTTTATTGTTAGATAATTTGGAAATAGCTTTATGAACCTCATAAGGCAGGATTTCATCTATATGGTCAACATTGTTTGCAGTGCATGGTTCACTATGGATGCAATTAAATAATCTGCTGTAATGTTGGCGCCACAGCTCCACAATGTTAGCAGTGCCTGATATGCCATCAACCGAACATGGGAGGGATGTTTTGTAGGATGTCATACCTCTAACTTCTTTCCAGAAGCCTTGGGTATTGTTACAGAAGAGTTTTCTGGCCATTGAGTCAGACCTCATTGCTCTTTCATTTTTACCAATATAACGCACAGCATACTTATATTGGGCATTGGTATACTTTTTATGTTCAAAGACAGGCCCTGATCTTGGTCTACCTGCCTCAATCCATTCCTTAGAAGCCTCTCTAGCTCTATTAAAAAATTCAACCACATGGGTATTCCAACCTGGCCTGATCTTATTTTTCTTTTTTATTTGTTTATGAAAGTGTTTAGTTGATGCAATCAAAACATTAACTATTTCATTATACACAGAACAAATGGATCTTATGTGCTCAGGATTTTTACAATTAGCATCTCTACAGCTAACTGCTTCTCTGGGCAAGTAGATATTCCTGAGTGAGTTATCTGTGCACATCGAATAAGATAGCAGATCCTCCTTTGACAGTGAGCTCCAGTCTAAGTGTAATTTGTTGCTTTCAGAGTACTTTTCTGTCATTGGTAACCACTGTAAATTTATCTGCATCCCAAATGGAATATGATCGGCAGTAGAGAATTCATACAGGATTTTCATGTCGGTCAATGAGGCATGTGCATCTGCTGTGGTTACACAGTGATCCAACCATGAGGTTGTATGCCATGCCTCACTAATATATGTAAAACTATCTGTAGGCAGCAGAACTTTCGTTGAGAGAATTAACCCACTATCCTCACAAAACTGCTTTAAATGAGTACCAAAGATAGATTTACTGTCAGTGATATCAGAGTTCATGTCACCAATAACAAACACATTAAAAAATTTGTTATCTTGTATAAAAGAGTTAATAAAAGCAAGCTTGTTAAGATACTCAGTTTCATTAGCAATGCACTCATATGGGGTGTACACATTCAGGATAACGCATTCCCTGTCATGTTGTGTCAGGTGTATTGCTATGCACCAGTCCACTTCCAGTCGGATTATTTTAACACAAGGATCTAGTCTCTTATCCCATAATATTGCCACACCACCAGCAATCCGTCCTCGTATTATTCTATCCCCAATATCAACACTGGACTCCCCAGCCCCGTGGAAACGCTCATTTATAGAGTTCAGTCCTTCTAAATCCTGCTTTGTCAGAAAAGTCTCTTGTAGACACAGCACATCACATTGACTCAGAAGTTGGTCTACAACAACCCGGCGAGCTTTGTCCTCTGCACTATGGCCCAAGCGCAGGCCACGGCAGTTATATGAGAGAACTTTAAGAGCCATCTGTTCAGTTTTATTTGGCCTTGGTGCCACAAGCAAAGGACGCCCCACTCATCTGCATCCCCGGGGGAACTGCACCACTCATACCCACAGCTCCAGCCCTCCGCGGCTCATAAAAACGCCTTACATAAGCTCCCACTGGCCAGAGATCAGGATTGTACATCTCCGCCACTTCATTACACTCAGATGAGACTTTGAAAGAGGCAAACCTGCTATTATCAGAGCTTATTTTCAGACATGTAACTTCACGACCCAGCTGGCCCTGAAGATATTCAGTTAAAGTCTGTACATCCAAGTCAGGCGAGAATTTAGAAGCAAAAACACTCACCAGTTTTGTTGTCACAGTTTTTATGTTTTTCACTGCCCCTGTGCCCACAATGGCCATACTTTTAGCATTTGTTTTCACTCCAGGTGTAGTACCGCGTAATCCCGCTTGTCGCTTTCCTCTCCTCACAACCGCGCTCCACTTTGGGGATTCCGGTGGATACGTAGTTTGACCAGAGATCTTGCTATCTCCAGGGGCAGCTTCCCCGCGCAGTACGCTCGCCCGATCCGTATCCCTTCTCCCAGCATTTGCTGCAAGCCCAGCAGCCTGAGTAACTGGCGGGTTCGCAGCGTTTGCTTCGGCACTTCTGCGCTCACCCTCCGTGCGGTCGCTGTCACTGCGTCCATCGCTTCCGTGTACGCCGCCAGCACAGGTGACAGGTGCAGATCCACACCCACCCTGGTCCTCAGGTACCGCATCCGCTGCACATTCTAGGCTGGAAACCCGGCGGTTCACATCTGTTGTGATCAGACGAAGGTCCTCACATACGTCCACCTGAAGTTTGAGTGCGCACTTCATCGCTCCAACCTCAGCGTGCAATTGCTCCATTCTCTTGAGCAGACCGCAGACATCCATGTTTGAGAAAGTAACAGGAGGCAAATCATCCAAATAATGAGAGACAAAACGTGGCACATTTTCCCCACATTCATTTAGGACTTTTAGACAGCTTTTGATGTTGTTTATGTCTTTTTGCGCTCCTTTGTGCGCTACATTTCGCTGCGTAGTAGTGCACAGGTCAAACAGTACTTTCTTGGAGGCCTCTATAGACTCGGTGTCGAAAGTGTTAATAGCCATCAGCACTATTTCATCCTGGCTCAAAGTTCTGATTTTTACAGCCAAAAAGTTCAAGAGCTCATCCTCCACAATTATTTTTCCATCCACAGTCCTGTAGATCTCAGGTTTTTGTCTAGATCGACATGAAGCTGGGACAACAGATACACACGCTGTTGTTCCGTCAGCCATCTTCCATCCAGCATTAATGAGATTGAGATATATATATATATATATATATATATATATATATAGATAGAGAGAGAGAGAGAGAGAGAGAGAGAGAGAGAGAGAGCTGTACTTAACAAAATTTCTTTTTATATACACTTGTGTATACATTTGATTTTTCAATCAAATGTATGGTCAACTAACTGTTTTTGTATTTATTTTATTTGATTGATTAATTCAATTATTAGGCAAACACTTTTTTTTTATTATTGACTTAAAACACAAGGCAAACAAAGCTGTTAGATAATCTAGTGATGAACATTTCATTAAAGAATTAATCTAGTATAAAACACCAATCCCAAACAATTAAATAAGGATGAAAAAATGAATATCTTTCTACTCTATGCTAACAATATCTTGGTGTAAATAAGCAAAGCTTGCACTAACAAATACACCAACATCTTAGCAGCTAAAAGGCTTATTGGGAAAAACATTCTCTTGTGTGAACTAAAGTCACCTACACAACTCAGTGACAATTACAGCTTCATACAGCCTGATTTCATTATTTAAACATTTCAAATTTAATCCTGTGGAAGAGGTTTTTGTCCCTCCTTTGACCTCACACTGGGTCATAGTTTTTGTCCTACATTTCCCTTTAAAACTCGCCTCTGCTAACAGCATAAACCCAAACTTTGTGATAAATCACTCAACACTTCCTTTGACCACAGCTTTCACATTCTACTTCCTGTTTTAAGAGGTTCCCTGCTGTTTACATCAAAGCCTTTTCATCCAGATGTTTTCTTTATAAACAGCTGGACAAAACAATGTTTGGGGTCTTGTTTTAAAAAAATATATCACACACATTATAGATATAAAATATGTAGATTGTGCTTGCCTTTCTACAGCCTTTGCAGAATATGGAGAATGCTGCACCAACATCTGTTTTTATTCTCTGATAGAGACCAAGAGTGGAAGTTCCTGACCCTTGACTAATTCCTGGAAGAAGCAGGAAGCTTTTGTGGTTTTGCCTTTGTGCAACTATGTCTCGCCCAGGCTTGAAATCATTACCTCATAGAAGGTTGGAGGGAAGATCATTACAACAGGGTTTTGTATATACAGAGAAGCAAGCCGTCTGATAGGTCATAGAGTATACTCTATGTTACACAAGAAGAGTTCGCTTCTTCTTTATATAGCAATCCAGAGGATAAGAGAATGTTTGTCATAGCAAGCCCTCTGCAGTGCGGAGAAACTCTGTGTTAAGCCTCTCTTGATTTATGCTGCAAGACTTGCCAGAGAAAATTATCTTGTTGAGTAGAAACATGCCCACAGTGCCAAGGTTCATGTGTTTAATCCGAAGACCGCATAATAAATATTAATGAATTTCAATACAAGGTTTAACTAAGGAGTATAGATGAGAGCAATGTAAATACACAATTAATAAATAAAAATTAAATATGATCAGAAAATGTGTGTATTGTAAATATTTTAAAGTTATTGATATGGCTGTTTGTTTTATTTTAAGCTCTGGACATCGAGAAATGGAATCTGGAGTGTTTGTTCAACAACACCGACCATCGCACTGACCTCAATGGAGCTGATCGACTCATAGTGAGGAGAGGCCAGCCATTCTCCATCAGTCTTTATCTTCGGTCTGGAAGCTACCAGCCAGGGATCAGCTCTCTTGACTTCATTGCAGAAACAGGTACAAAGTCTTTTAAATCAAGTAGTTATTTTAATTATTGACTTTCTTTTAACAAGTAAAGATTCCCTACTGTCATGATGGGTAAACGGAGGCAAGCCCAAGATGCAGAACACACACGGAGGAGGCAGGGAAAAAGTTCAAAATGTTTAATAAAGTTCTGAAACACACGGTTAAGCACTGGGACTGAAATGGGTCAGGGGCTGGTTCACTGGAGTCTTGACTGGGACTGGAGACTGTGGGTTAGCAGAGTTCATGAGAGGCTAAGCATCTAGCTTCAGGCTTAGCAGGGCAGTACTAGATTTGAGCTTCTAGCTCACAGCAGAGATCAACAGGGGATTAGCACAAAGGGATCTTCTGGCTGAGCTTCCAGCTCTTAGCAGGGAACAACGGGGAAAATCCACATATGATTCTTCAAGCTGATTCCACGTAGGTACCAGCGGCGTAGGAAGCGGGGGGGACGGGGGGGACATGTCCCCCCCAATATAAAAGCCAGGTGGATATGTCCCCCCCAAAAATTGTACCGCAAAATATTAGATTTTGACAATTTTTTAACTATCGTGCTTTTATTTTGAAGGCGCAGCATAGCGTTACGTCACTGTACTCCCCCTCCCCTCTGTGAACTGTTGAGTGTTTGAGCACTCAGAGGGAAACAGCGATACAGAAAGTCAGAAACTTGTGAATGAGGTAAAATGGTCTGTCGGGAATGCTGCTATGAATATTGCTTATTTATAACGTCTTGTTGTCAGTTCACTTTCATATATAGAAACTGAATCTTTTTGGTTTAGGCATCTTAGTCTTGTAGGAAGAGGATTAGGGCCACTGAAAAAAGTTAACTGATTTTTAATTTTTTTTAGTTTAACATGGGGGAAAAAGTCAGAATTCTGACTTTTCTCAGATTTCTGACTTTAATCTCAGAATTCTGACTTTTTTCTCAGATTTCTGACTTTAATCTCAGAATTCTGACTTTTTTCTCAGAAATCTGACAGATGATTAATGTTTCTAATCAATTTACAGTTTTTTTTGGTGGTGGTGGTGGGGGGGGGGGGGGGGGGGGGGGGGGTACTATACAGATATATAAAAACAAGTAGGTCTAACTAAAAAATAACCAGAATATATGTTTAGAGTAAAGATTGACTACTTGTGTTTACACAAGCACACAATTTCAAATCTGCTGAGCTTGCTGTGCAAGAAAATGTAAAATATACGTATAAAGAAATATAACAGGAAGTACTGCTAAAACAAACTAAATGTTAAATAATGTAGATATTGGTTTAAAAAATTCTTCAGATTTGGAAATTTGGAAGGAATACATAATTCTGAAATTAATCAACAAATCTGGTAAAAAAATAAATAAATAAAAAATAAAAGTTGCACTTTTTTACTTGAGGAATTTGTTGAATAACTTCATAATTATGAGTTTAACTAGTTGGAGGTAATGCTACACTTCTCTGCTTCCTGTCCTGCTCATAAAAGGTAAACATTATAAACCCACCATTAATTTTCTACACTATTTGGAAAACACAACACAAATGTAATATAACAAAAGTATGTTTAACAACAAACATGTTAGCATCAAGCCATAGCCATGTCTCTTTTAGAGACTAGATCTCTTGTTTTAATGACCTTCTGCTCCTCCATTAATGGGGGGACCCCTCGGGCACGTAAAAAGTTGCCTAATTCTGTAATTTTCCACCAATGTGTCACTGGCTCTCTCAAACAACTCACATCTTTGTCAGTGAAGCTGAGTGCTCCACATCTCTGCCTTCATGGTGCCCATCTACATTAAGATCCAAAATTCTGAGAAAAAAAGTCAGAATTCTGAGAAAAAAAAAGTCTTAATTCTGAAAATAAAAGTCAGAATTCTGACTTTTTCCCGTATTAAACTGAAATAAAATGTAAAAATCACTTAACTTTTTTTTTTCCAGTGGCCCTAATCCTCTTCCGTAGTCTTGGGCTGATCACTCATCCAATATTTAACTGCTAACTTTCTCTAGACGTTTGCCACGCTAGCCAAAATGTTTTTTTTATATATTTTTTTTTATATCTCATTTCAGTACAATGCCACCACCAACTAAAAGGCTGACACAGCAGCAGGACTTACTCAGATTTTTTTAAAAGAGAAATGTCAGTGTGAGCAACAGTCACCTAACAAAACTTGTGTTGAAATTAGCCCGGTCTGGGCGTGCGTTTTACGAGGATTTTTTATTTTTTGCATGGTTTTGATTCGCCGAAATGGACAGATGTTATACCTGCCGCGCTCCTGATCGTTAGTTAACCACAGGGAGAATTAATTCTAATTCTTAGCAGTGGCGGCCGCACAACCACTAATTAACCAACTAATTAACTTCTGCATCTTTATTTCCTCAAATAAACTGCTGGCTCCTCTTTTTAGACTATAAACAGATTAACACAACATTGACAACTCTGTAGTTTTCTCTGTTCTGTACTGCAAATTGGAATTAAAGGCGCCATTTCTACCAAAGGTCTGGACAGACTGGCCACCTGTCTAGGGTGGACCCCGCACCAGCACCTCCCGACCCCACTAAGGGACAGGGTGTACAGAAAATGGAAGGATGGATGGATTTCTACCAAAGGTTGTTAATGCGTTTTTGAACCAGATGCTTCAAAGCGCCCTGTCCATAATTCTTCAACACACTGTCAGCTCCCTCTGTCAGTCAACCTATATAAATTCATTTTTGACCATTATTGCAAGTTTGACAAAATAAAACATATCAAACTTTGCACTTGTGTGGCCTACTGAATTGTTTTGATTTTCTAGTGCGTATGCGGACACTAAATATGCCAAGGGCTGAAGCCCTTGAAAGACATCTCCCTTTGCTTAATAAAAGACTCCAGTCATTTTGTTTGGTGATATGCTCAAATCTTATGAACAAATGCATTATGTTAATTTTAAATGCATTATTTTTGCAAACACATTTATAAAGGAATAAAGTAAAAGATTAAATAGCCTTTTTTTTAAGTAGCGTACTTAAGATATGTTTCTGTTGAATATTTACGAATCTCAGATTTCCGACATGTGTCCCCCCCAATTGTAAACATATTCCTACGCCCTTGTAGGTACCTCCAGGGAAACTCCACATAGGAGTCTTAGGTTAAATCCACGTAGGAATCTTCGGGTTGGCTCACCAGGGCAGATAGTAGGTTAAGCTCACCTAGAGCTTCTGGCTAGAGACAGGTTTCCTGTGATGCAGCTCTCCCAGAGCTGCAGGCCAGAGACAGGTTACCAGTGAGGCAGCTCTTCCAGGGCTTCACGAGGAGACAGGAGGTTAAGCTCATCCAGAGCTTCACGAAGAGACAGGATTCCTGTGAGGCAGAAACAGGGAAGAGTTAGAATCTGATCTCACACTAGAGATAACCAAGATTCTTCCAGTAACAGAGGCTCAGGTTGCTAACCAACTACGATTAACACTGCGGCGTTGAGGCAAGGTCTGAAGTCAGCTTATATAGGAGAGGTCTTCTGATGAGAGGATTAGCAACAGGTGTGCAGGAAGGTTCCAGCTCCAGAAGACCCACTGCGCACTCTGCTGGAGACAGAGGGTAGTCTCCAGATCCCCACAGTAACTCAACCCTAAGGGAAAAACACAGAGCAGAAGAGGATCCTCTGTGCCCTCTGGAGGGCAAGCCTGAGGATCCTAACACCTACATTTTTTTTTGTCTAGTTAGCAGTACTTAAGGACTGGTTAATGTATTTTTGGTATATAAAATTGTGTTGAAATGTCAGGGTAATTCCTCACACTCAGGAAGTCAGTGTGTTCAGCCTCACCTTACTGGGTGTGTTAGTTATTTGAGGATCCAGAGGGAGCAGTGTTAAAGGGAAGGTAGTGATCTAGTTCAGATACAGAGGTGTTTCCTTTTTGCAGCTAAAGCACGTTGCGGTGTACTTCCCCCAGTTCATTTGAAACCCACCTACTGTATGTATTTCTGTGCAGTTGTATTCAGGGTTTTCTGTTTTTGTAGATCTTGTTTGTGGAATATAACTGCAGGAAAACTTTTGTCTCTTGCAAAAAGCTTGTAAAGGCAACAATTGCTCACCATCAAATTCAACTCTGATATCAGGAAATGTTGCTGCCCCGAAGGGAAATTTGTGCATACTGTTATCACAGATAATAGTATCAAGTTTTAAAACGTCTCCTTATTTTGATGGATTTGAGAGGGGCCCCCATTAAAGCCGGGGAAGATAAAGCACAGTAAAGTTACTTTACAGACGTCCTTCCAAAGTTCTTTGCCGTTAAGTGGATAAGCTTTTATCTATTGCACTGTTATGCTGAAAATGCATGTCTGAACAGAGTCAGATATGGTTAAACCTTAGACACTGGGGTAAGTGTATCTTGCCTATCAAATGTTTACATACTGTACACTCATAATGGGCATGGATGTCATGTGATTCAAAGATGTCACGTTTGGATGTTCATATAAAAATCTATTGTGGATTTTTCATGTGTGTAATCAAAGAGGCTCAAATATAAATATAAACTAGCATCTGAACTAAATTGTATTTTAGCTTATAAGAAAGGGAAAACCATGTGGTTTTCTGGCCTAGACCAGGTTTTGAGGGGGCAAGGCGCATTTATCACATCTTGTTTCAGTCTTAGCATATATTTGTGAAGATTTTCCAGTGGAGTCCCATACCTGTTAACTTGAGGTATCCCTCCTTCATTCCAGGCAATGAAATAGGATCACTGCTAGTGAAAGCAGCCCTCGGCATGATGGTACCATCACTGCATTTGACAGCCGGTGCAGGGTTCTTAGAGATTGATTAACTGTCAAAACTGTGACACATCTAAGTAGAACAATGTGTCAAACATATATCAAAACTGGATTCAGACGCTTCCTGAATAAGCACCAGAAATACCAGGATCTTATTAACTCTGTGTCATTACAATAAAAAAGCGAACTATAGCTTTTAAAACCAACCAACATCAGATTGGAAAACTGCTGAAATATCTTGTAAGAATTAGGCCAGGACCTTGCTCATTTATATAAAAGCTGTTTGCTTATGTACCACACATTCAGACTCTATATACCTGAAATCTGTTTGGTAACTCCTGCTGTTTGGTTGTTGATGAATTAAGAAGCTAATGCAGAAAACATTTTAATAAGTTTTTGCTTGCTATGATCCTAAATCCTGAATCCTATATAAATTGAAAGTGTTGATTTAGAACAAGTACATGAAATAAAATTCTTGGGTGTCATATTAGACGATAAGTTTAGCTGGAAACCTCAGATCAGCCTAGTAAAATCTAAAATAGCCAAAAGTGTTGCTGTTATAAGAAGAATTAGTTTCGTCCTGGATTACAAATCTTTGTTTATTCTGTACAACACACTCATTGTACCACATTTAACATATTGTGTGGAAGTTTGGGGGAATACATACAAAACAAATTTACAGCCATTATACGTTTTAAAAAAGAAATCAATCCGAATACTACATAAAGTGGGATACTGGGAACACACAAACCAGTTATTTATCAAATCAAATATACTGAAATTCTGGGACCTGGTAATATTTAGAGGTTCGAAATCAAAAACTTCCACACAATATACAGGAAATGTTTGGTGACAGAGAAGGGGGTTATGATCTAAGAGGTGAAGGATACTTTAAAAAACAACACTTTAAAACAACCAGAAAGAGTTTTTGTTTATCTGTGTGTGGAGTAAATGTCTGGAATCGATTGAATGACGAGTTTAAAAAAATTAAAAATGCAAACCAATTTAATAAACTGATTAAAACCGAGCTCATTTCAAAATACGCTATATGACTGTTTAATAGTCTATAATGTAATTGATGACATAAATAGAACTTAAAATAATTGTACATGGCTAAACATCATGTGGAATGGAAACAAGTGTTTTTTTTTGGTTTTTTGATGTTTTGACATTTAATTGAGGATAAATTGACAAGTAGGAAAGGGGCAGGACATTATAAGATGTAGCTTCTACCTGCTCCTTTTCGAACAGAAAATATAAAATTTACATGTCACAAGGGCAAAATAATTTGTTTTATATTTTCATTCTTAAGTTTGTTTCATTCAAAATTTTTTTCTTTCTTGATTGTTTTTACTGTCTGTTCGAAATAAATAAAATAAAATAAATAAATAAATAAAGGATAAAGCCATTGCAACATCAAAATCCCATTATTTTTGCATTATTTATCAATATTGCTCCACATAATGTTTTCCTAATGTAGTTCAACTCTCCTGGAAGTGTAGGGTTGACTTTGAGCCCGTATGTATAAAGCAGAAACTGTGAATAGAGATAACTTGCTGCACTTGTCAAGGTGAGAACCTATGTATTGTTTTAGAAATTCATTTCAGCTGTGTATTGTATCATCATCCCACCTTTGTCTTAAATGCATCATCAAAAGCCCTGAATCGATATGACATTATCTCCCACTGACAGTATTTGTGAACTTTGACTGGAAATGCAAAATTTCCTTTTTCAATGATTTTTTTTCTCAAAGATTTAGTTACTATTTGTTCCTCTTAACAATTTTCTTGATAACATGCAGGTCCTCAGCCCTCTGAGCAGTATGGTACCAGGGCCCGTTTCGGTGTCTCTCCTAATATTGACACTTCTACCTGGAGTGCCGCAGTAACCAGCCCTCCTGGGAACACGGTGGCCCTCTCTATCTGCTCTTCTCCCAAAGCTCCTATTGGCCGCTACACTCTTACCCTGGGCCAGTCAGGGAAGATTGAGTTCATTCTTCTGTTTAATCCCTGGTGTCCAGGTGAGTAAACACTACCCCTCAGTGAATATGTCTATCAAGTAAAGTATCTTGTGGAGATAACAAGAGCTTAGCTGATCATGTTTCATGTAGACATGTGTTAAGGATTAGAGCTAAGAGAATAAATCATGCCAAACGATTTTCAGTATTTTGTTGCTTGATACTAAGATTGAGTCACTCTTTTAAGAATTCAAACCTAAGCATAGCAGTTTGGACTTGCATTGGGACATTATTTGTAATTTGTCTTGGCAACAGCGGATGAGGTGTATATGGACAATGAGCAGAACCTGGCCGAGTATGTTCTTTCTCAGGATGGGATCATCTTTCGAGGCAGCAGCAAACACCCCATACCCACTCCCTGGAATTTTGGCCAGGTATCAACACCAACACTGACAGCATCAACCTCTCTTCATCACTATAAACAATCAATCAAATGAGGCAGGATTTTGTCAGAGTGTTGATTAAACTTGAGTTAGACTTATTACAGTGAGAGGAAAATATTTTCTGATAAGGTAACCTAATTTTTAAAAAACACCTCCAAGCCTGTGCGCATATCTTGCTCTGTTTTTTGTCTGCTTCCTCAGAACCGACGTATTTAGGGAAGTTTTGTTCCACCACGTCTACTGGATCCTTTTCTAAGGGAGCACAAATCTAATGGGTGTGTTATTTTCTACAGTTTGAAAGTGGAATCCTGGATATTTGTCTTAGGATTCTGGATATGAATCCTAAATGCCTGCGTAATCCTGGAAAAGACCATTCAGGGAGAAGAAATCCCATCTATGTAACCCGAGTACTGAGTGCAATGGTATGACCTCTCCATTTTATTGATTATATATTTCTATAGCCAATGTTCATATATATTCAACTCTTTGTTGTATGTTTCCATGACACACTTAGATGTTAGATTTCAGACGTGAAAAATTTTAGACTATTTTTGTTGTGTGGCAGGTAAATTGTAATGACGACAAAGGGGTGTTGCTGGGGAAATGGTCTGACGGATATGAAGGAGGGGTCAGTCCTTTGTTTTGGCGTGGCAGTGTGGAGATTCTGCGAAACTGGGACACTCAAGCCTGTCAGCCCGTTCGCTACGGACAGTGCTGGGTGTTTGCTGCTGTGGCCTGTTCGGGTAAGACAGGAGAGGCTGTATGGCTAGAGAGAATCATTATTTTTGTCTAGCTGAATCAAAACAGTATATCACCACATATGCATAATCCCCCTTCAAACATGACACTTTATCTTATGTCTTTGTAGTTTCCAGAGCACTGGGCATTCCCTGTCGAGTCATAACCAACTTTCTGTCTGCCCATGACAACAACAGCAACCTGGTGATTGAACGTTACGTCAATGAGAAAGGGGATTCCATTCAATCTAGAGAAATGATCTGGTTAGAACTTACTTGCATTATATTTAACACATGGTTGAGAAAATTATGAGCACTCACAGCTAAGGACAGCACTGGGTTGCTCAAACAGAGCAAAAACACCTGTTCAATGTGTGTTATATATCTGCAGGAATTACCATTGCTGGGTGGAAAGTTGGATGACTAGGCCAGACCTCAAACCTGGCTTTGATGGCTGGCAGGCTAGTGACCCCACTCCTCAGGAAAAGAGTGAAGGTACTGCTTTTGAAATATGTATGCATAGTAAATCTAGTGTCATAGTTTCAATTCTGAGAATTTATTTGAATTCTCAGGAGTGTATTGCTGCGGCCCCATCCCTGTCAAGGCCATCAAGGAGGGGGAGCTTACCTTCAAGTACGACGCCCCTTTTGTTTTTGCTGAGGTCAATGCTGATATTGTCACACTCATGAAGAAAAAGGATGGTAGCACTTCAGAGGTCACCACCACTGGATTGGTGGGCCAGAAGATCAGCACCAAGAGTGTTGGCAGTGACACCAGAGAGGACATCACTCACCTCTACAAGTACCCTGAAGGTACCGAAAGTGGCATTCTGAATGACTAAATAAATAATTCTGTTAAAGGTTTGTCGACACCGAATGCAAGTGCAGGAAATTTTTGTTGTGGTTTGTCTGGCATTGGTTGCTTGACGTTTTGGCTCCCTGTATTGACTACATTAACACATTGTCTGTCCAACATCCAGCCTCTACTGTGGCAGAGTAAAGCACCCATCTCCAGTAAATTGTTGTATAAAAAAGCTTTGTTTTTGCTGCACTCCGTCTTCCTACATTTCTTAACTCCTGCATAATTTCGCTTTGTTCTATCTGCAGTAACACTCTTTGCACTAATTGCTCAATTTATGTCACTTTCAATGCTTGAAATCAGTACTTTTCTATCGACCATTAATTTGTTACTGAACACTTCCTTTCTGGGGATAATATGCAAATCACTCATTCTACTCGCTGTGTTCAGTGTGAAAGCATCTTTACAATGTATTGTTGAAATAAAATATGGCATAGATATACAGTAGATTTCTTTAAAAAAAAGCTAAATTTAAAACAATTTGACTTTTTAACAAAATTTTTTCTTGAGTTTTTGATCGATATGTGCCCTCTAAATGCTGTTGAGTACCTTATGATTGCCAGCATATCTGACTATAGAGGCAGATGTGTCAGGAGTTTGTACTAACACAATAACACGATAAAACTAAATGAGAAGTGTCACTGAGAAGGGAGTGGAGCAGCCCATTAATCTGGAAGGGCTTGCAAGGTTATTTACACAGAATGTGAAACCCACCCCTCTAGAGTTAAAAAGCTTTTTGACAAGCAAGTAAGAAAAATGTAACACCACTGACAACCTTCTCAGAAGTTGACATAAGCAAGTTCACACAGAGGTGAAATCCATGTAATACTTTGAGAAATGGTGAAAAAGAACTGGAAAAACTCCCAAAGTAAAAGCTCAAGCTGTGCAGGCATCTTTAGCTTATCACAGAAAACATGTTTGATAAAAGCTCTGAAAAAGGTAAGTTGATAAAGAACTTTCAAATAACTCCATCTATTGCTGCTGTATTTAATCTCAGTCTCAGAACTCTACAAAAAACTAATGTCTAAATTTAGTACCCTTATTCAGAAGGGAACGTCTCACTCTAGGAAACAGTTTTTACATAAACTTTTTGCTAATATATCATAATATGCGCCACAAATTGTCCGCATTCCTAACATTAAAATAAAGGAATATGTGTGGCTACTTTAAATTATGTTCAATCAGAGTTTCTAGGAAACTAAGTCCAGTTGTTGACATGCTTGTTTCATTAGGTTATAAATGCAAAGCTGTTTTTCTTATGATGACACAGAAAGCTGTGAGAACATGTCACTCAAGAAAGGTATAGCATATTTTATTCTGACTAAATCAGTTAATCTGTTTACATCCAAACTGAAAACTGGCAACAAATTCGGACAAAGAAATATTATCAGTCTTGAAAGCAGGATCATTAGTGTGGTTAAAAAAAAAAAAAAAAAAAAATATATATATATATATATATATATATACACTATATTGCCAAAAGTATTTGCTCACCCATCCAAATTATTGGAATCAGGTGTTCCAATCACTTCCATGGCCACAGGTGTATAAATTCAAGCACCTAGGCATGCAGACTGTTTTTACAAACATTTGTGAAAGAGTGGGTCGCTCTCAGGAGCTCAGTGAATTCCAGCGTGGAACTGTGATAGGATGCCACCTGTGCAACAAATCCAGTCGTGAAATTTCCTCGCTCCTAAATATTCCACAGTCAACTGTCAGCTGTATTATAAGAAAATGGAAGTGTTTGGGAACGACAGCAACTCAGCCACGAAGTGGTAGGCCACGTAAACTGACGGAGCGGGGTCAGCGGATGCTGACGCGCATAGTGCGAAGAGGTCGCCAACTTTCTGCAGAGTCAATCACTACAGACCTCCAAACTTCATGTGGCCTTCAGATTAGCTCAAGAACAGTGCGCAGAGAGCTTCATGGAATGGGTTTCCATGGTCGAGCAGCTGCATCCAAGCCATACATCACCAAGTGCAATGCAAAGCGTCGGATGCGGTGGTGTAAAGCACGCCGCCACTGGACTCTAGAGCAGTGGAGACGCGTTCTCTGGAGTGACGAATCGCGCTTCTCCATCTGGCAATCTGATGGACGGGTCTGGGTTTGGCGGTTGCCAGGAGAACGGTACTTGTCTGACTGCATTGTGCCAAGTGTAAAGTTTGGTGGAGGGGGGATTATGGTGTGGGGTTGTTTTTCAGGAGCTGGGCTTGGCCCCTTAGTTCCAGTGAAAGGAACTCTGAATGCTTCAGCATACCAAGACATTTTGGACAATTCCATGCTCCCAACTTTGTGGGAACAGTTTGGAGCTGGCCCCTTCCTCTTCCAACATGACTGTGCACCAGTGCACAAAGCAAGGTCCATAAAGACATGGATGACAGAGTCTGGTGTGGATGAACTTGACTGGCCTGCACAGAGTCCTGACCTCAACCCGATAGAACACCTTTGGGATGAATTAGAGCGGAGACTGAGAGCCAGGCCTTCTCGTCCAACATCAGTGTGCGACCTCACAAATGCGCTTCTGGAAGAATGGTCAAAAATTCCCATAAACACACTCCTAAACCTTGTGGACAGCCTTCCCAGAAGAGTTGAAGCTGTTCTAGCTGCAAAGGGTGGACCGACGTCATATTGAACCCTATGGATTAGGAACGGGATGTCACTTAAGCTCATATGTGAGTCAAGGCAGGTGAGCAAATACTTTTGGCAATATAGTGTATATTGCAAGGGAGCTACAATAAAGAGTAGCACAAATGGAAAGGCAGCTGATGTCCACCTTTAAATTTGTTGGTGGATCCATTTGGATATGGGGTTATTTTCTTCCAAAACAAATGTAAATTTAGGTAAACGAAAAGGTCCACTGCTTATACAGTACTCCAGTACACTACATTAAGTCATTTATCCATTCACACACACTGATGGTGGCCGCTGCCCTGGTGCTTAAATATACACAGGTTCCACCGGGTCTTTTGACTACCATATTAAGGCCAGAAGGGTGCTTAATAATAACAATTGAACTTTACTGATCTCACACTGGGGAAATTTACCTCTGCATTTAACCCATCCCCTTGGGGAGCAGTGGGCTGCCATTGTGCGGTGCCCGGGGATCAGTATGGGGTTAAGGGTCTTGCTCAAAGACCCAGATTGCTGACTGTGGGGATCTAACCGGGGACTTGCAACCTTCTCAGTTTGCACAAGTGCACTGCTCTAACCACTAGCCCAACTCTCCCCTAACACTACTTGCTCTAGGGCACAAAGAATGAGGTGGGTTGGGCTCCTGGATCCTACACCACTTTTACCACATAGCATCCTGAAATCTTTATAGCAAAAGACTGATGGCTGAAAATGGGATGTTATTTAGCGTTTTAGCAGGATGATTTAAAGCATATCACCCAGAAAGGGTTCAGCAGACAGGAAAACAACCTTCTTCCATTCGAATGTTATTTTTCAGGTCTAAATCCACCATAAAATGTAGACGAGAGAGATTGAGCAAATGGCCAAAGATCTGTCTTTCTCTGTATAGGCTGCGGCCTTATGACAGTGGATGGGAGAAGACTGAGGGCACTAAAATACATGTTCATTCAGTCTTCTGACTGTAGAGCTGGTAGATGGCTGACAAAATATTGCTTGTTTGTCAGGAGAAAGCTTCTTTTCTTAGCTGGAAATTATAGCAGTGGGACAAGCCAGAGACTGAAAGAATGTCCTTTAAACAGACAAGAACAATGCTGTGGATATGCTGGGCACAATTACAAGCAATACATTTGTTATGAAAAGAAAATATGGCACATGTTCATAAAAGCTCATATCGACAATCAGTAACTTTGGTGAGTTCTGGTTATTTGAGATGTTTTTTAGCCTCAGAATGTAGCTGCAGATGTTGCAGGCTGAAGTGAGTGTTAATCTTTGTACAGGAACGTTTCTCAGTAAAATATGAGATCATCTGTATCACTGCTGAATGTTGGCAAGAACTAGATTCTCCAACCGAACAATAATGCCAAGCATATCCCCAAATATACAGCAGAAAGTGATATAAAATGGAAATAAAACCAGTTTCTGAAGGCCTAAGTTCAGACCTCACACGACCCTGGTGAGAAGTTTCCATAAACAACTGCATGCAAAGCTCAGTGAAGAGGATATAAAAGAAAATTTGGACCAATTGTTCACACAATGTTGTGAGACTGATGGGGTCTCCAGGAAGACAGCTGTAGTTCTTCAAGCTGTTAAAAAATCTGCTGTACTAAAATGCAATGCTTTTGTAAATAGATTTTTAACAGGAACTATATAACATATGCTTTGTGAAGTATAAGTTCTGAATAATGCAATCGTTTTTGGCATTTACTTAATCATAATTAAATACTTTATCGCAATTGTTTAATTTGAGCAGGGTAGGACATAAAACAATTGTGCTAAAGTAATTAAATATGATAAGTAAATGCCAAAAAGTGGTTGCATTATTTTTTAAATGCGCATCTTCAGTCCACTAATAATCAAGTGCTGGAAACAAAGCCAACTCCACTGTTTTTTGGTATTCCTGCAGATTAAATGTTCAGTTTCTTTAGCATTCCATTCACTTTTTTAAATTTAATATACAACAAGCTAGGAAAATTAATTTTCAATTTTTTTTAGTTTGGATCACTTACACTGAAAAACTCCTGTGACTCTGTGGCTTTTTATATTCCTAGGATCGGATGAAGAGCGGGAAGCTTTCACAAAAGCCAACCATCAAAACAAGCTTCTCCGAGAGAAGCCGGACCAAGGCCTCCACGTCACTATCAAAGTTACACCTGACATGAGGAAGGGCTGTGACTTTGACGTATACGCTGTTGTTACCAACAACACAGAAGTAGAGACAAAGTGCCGCCTGGTGTTTGGGTCCTGCGCTGTTTCCTACAATGGATTTCTGGGAGGGAATTGCGGTTTCAAAGACTTGCTCAACGTTCAGCTCACACCGGGAGCAGGTGAGCCAGGTCACCATGTGGTGAGGAAACACAGATATCTGTTATTATGCTTACATTCGTACTATGAGATTTTGTCCGTGACATTCCAGAGAGGCGAGTCCCACTCAGGCTGAATTACACAAAGTATGGGGATCTAGTAACAGAAGACAACTTAATTCGACTCGCAGCTCTACTGGTGGATTACTCCACGGGAAAGACAAAACTGGCAACAAGAAACATTGTACTGGACAATCCTGAAATTAAAGTCAGAGTGAGTACAAATGCAAGGTTTGTTTAGCTTTGGGTGTTGCATACCTCCAATGGTAAGATCCCTTCCAAGATTTTTTGGCAATTATTATTAAGATTTGGTTCAGACTGCCTTAAAAAAAAAATAAAATGAGAAAATAAGACATATAGTGGCTTGTAAATGTAAACAATCAAGTTGAATTTGTAATTATGTTTGGATAATGTCTGGGCGGTGGATATTGATGTTTTTTTCCCCAGGATTGTTAACTCTGACCATCAGCCCTACCAATCCCTGCCAAAGAACATCAGTGCTGAAGCATGATGCTTTCATAGCCATGTTTCCCTGTATGTTCAAGGCTACGTTTCCCAATAATTTGGCACCACATATGGTTTTTCCTGTGACAAACAAAAAAATAAAACTTCCTTTCATTGCTCTTTCTCAACATTAGCTTTCTGGTTAAACATTGTAGGCTACATTGCCAAAGACGATAGATAAGATATGACCATTTTGATGAGATTAAAAACAAGCAGGGGCTGCTCAGTGAAGTACTGGGTAGCACTGCTGCCTTTCAGCAAGAAGGTCCTGAGTTCGATTCGGAGTCTTGGGTATTTTTGCATGGAGTTTGCACATTCTCCCTGTGCATGCGTGGGTTGTCTCCGGGTACTCCGGATTACTCCCACAGTTCAAAAAAACATGATTGTTAGGTTAATTGGCTTCTCTAAATTCTCCTTAGTGTGCGTGAATGGTTGTTTGTCCTGTTTGTATCTGTGATGGACTGGACACCTGTCCAGGGTGTAGCCTGCCTCTCGCCTGTAGACAGCTGGAGATAGGCACCAGCACCCCTCACAACCCCAGAAGGGATAAAGTGTGATGGAAAATGGATTAATAACAAACAGCTGTACTTTATTTTGTATTATTTCATTTGTTAAAGTAATTGGCTACAGTGCCAATTAATTTAGGAGGAGTTGAGTAAAGCGGACTTAATGCAAATGTATGGCACACTTTGCAGATTATCACTTGTAAATATATGCATTATTTTTCACAATTCTTTTAGTTATGGGCTGTTTGTTGTTTTTATGTTTTGTTCTATTAGTTAGCTAAATAGAACAAAACCTGTTATATGTGGTGGTATTGTGGAAATCGGCAAAAGTAAATTTATTTTCTAAGCACTTCAAATGAAAGGTCGTTTTTTAACTCCAATGTGAAGTCAGTCAAGCAGAACTGTTTAAGGGTCATTTTAAGATATCATTGAATGTGTTCGGAGTCAGGAGCTAAAGAGATTAAGTAAAATAATAATAGCTAAATAATAAATATTCATCTCTACACTGGTTAAAGTTCGACCTGGCAATGACAGAGCCAGAAACTACAGTAAAATATCCTGCTAAATATCAGGCATGCAGTTTGATTGCCCAGAAGTACTGTGCTTACATAAATATACACAGACTGTGGAGCTGTGGAAGATATTATAAAGTTCATAAACATGATCTGAGGTAGTGCATTAAGTTCTGCTAATTTATGCTTTGCCTTTCTGACTTCTTAAACAATTGTTATCCAAACATCCACCTTGATTTAAAACGCTACATTTCTGCTGCTCTTTGTCTCCAATATCTTCTTCATCACCTTCTGCAGATAAACATTTTACAGTTCCCCTGTTTAAATTGTTAAAATAGTACAGCTTGCAGGTTTAATTCTTTACTAGTCTTACAGTGGATGTAAAGTTTTCCATCAATTATACAATGCTTTACAGTATTATTGCTACCTCATAATACATTTTTAATTGTACATTTATATGATAAATCAACAAAACACATTGCTAAATTGTGATTGGAATGAAGAGGACTCAATGCTTGTCAAGATTTTGGTCTAATGGCCAAAATTATTGGTGGAGGATACATAAAGCAAGGTAATTTTTCAAATGTGAAAACCCAAACTGTTGCAGCTGTTTTTATAACTTTTTTTTTAAGCAAATTTTAAAAGTCAGGAGCAAAGTCATATGCAAAAAAATTGTGCAGCCATTGTAGAGATAAAGAAGGAACTTGTTTATAATTAAGCCAAAATGAAAAAAAAAAATTACCTAATTCAAACATTGCACATTTATTTTTTAAAAATGCCTAGCCTGTAGGGACATTTCTAATCGTGGCAGGAGAGATTTTATTTTCTCTCTGTGTTTTTAAACAGGCTCCGCATGTAGCAAAGTTATGTTTATTGTTTTGGACTTACCTTCTCAATAACTTAATCAACAGAGACAACTTTCCCATGTTTTACATTTTATCCTTTGTATTTAACTTAAACTTTAATCATTTTCTTCATTTAATGTTTACTTTTTTCATACCACTTTGATAAAGACTACCTATGTGAAATACATTATATGATATTTAGTATTATCATCTTTATTTTTTAAATATTTATTGTAAACATCTCTTCCAACTCCATGGCTTATGACCTCATCTTTCTTTTACTGCTACTCTTAAACTGCTTGTAGAAGGTACAATCTTCTCATTTACATGGGCAGAACCACACCAGTTTGCACATCTTAACATTTGCACAACCATTTTAGTAGATTACACACAAGACCACTATTTCCAAGCTGCAAAAACTGTTTGCATGTGCAGTCTATTTGCAATCTTTGAAGATCAAACCCTGAGTTTTTCACATTATTTTTGACCACTTTTGCTCATCAAGATAGGATGGAAACCATGTGTTAACATTAACCTTTAAGTCCTGTCACTATTTCACCATTTTCATGAAGGTGTCAAGTTATAGACTTCCAGATTGAAATGTCCAAACGCTTTGATCTAACTTAAAGGCAGACTCTGTTTACTTAGTAGGAGTAATCTGAGCTTGCGCCCGGTTCTTGGTACTGACAAGAGCAATAAGTCAGCTGACCTAAAGGGAAGAGGTGTCACGCAGGGCTATAAAAACTCAAGAAACGTAGAACGGGGGAAGGCCATTTAAGACTGAAAAATATTAAAGAAACTTAAAATGGATCCACATGTGCAGTCTGTGAGGTCAGTTCAAAACTGATGAAATGCATTGAGTCATATCTGTGTTAGAACATTTAAAGCAGAGTTTTTGCACCATCTGCAGATGTATTACTCTAACCTAAATTATGTGCGTAATAGTAGCCCAGCTTTATGGTCACAGAGACATTGATTATTGTCTTAAATTATTTTTCTCCTTAGAATGGGCTTTATGTTTTCAAGTAGGGATGCACGATATAATCGGCCCCCTATCGGTATCGGCCTTAAAACTGAATATCGGACATCGGCCACCCCACCGATATTTAACCCGATATTTGATCAGCTTCTGAGTTTCTGAAGTCTAAAAAAATTTAAAAATACTACTACTTCGTCCTCAAAAACTTATTTTTTACAGACTTAAAAACTTCTAAAGACGAGGGAAAAAATATTGATACATTAAAATATCACAATATCTTCATATGCTGATATATTGCCATTTAAAAACACCAAATCAATATCTTTTACTAATGACATATTGCTATATGTCATTAAAATTTTGCCATATTTTTATATGTTGATATATTGACGCGGTATAGATCTATTTTACTAACAAAATCACACAAGAATTTGCAAAACATCACGAGAGTTTGTAACAGAACGATGAAATTTCACGAGATTTTGAAAGTAAAATAGATCGATACCGCGTTTTTAAAAATCAATTTGATATCAGCATATGAAAATATATTTGAGTATATTATTTTTCAAAGTGTCAGAAATGGATAACAAAACTGCTATTTTCAATGACTACTTATTTTTGTCCAGCTTTAACATCGGTATCGGTTATCGGCCGCATGAGTTTTAAAATATCGGCATATCGTATATCGGCCAAAATCCCAATATCGTGCATCCCTATTTTCAAGTAAAATAAAGCTGGACTTATCCACCTTGATCTGTGTTGAATACAAGCTAATCATCCATTTGACTGTAAAACCAAGATTTGTAGTTGTCAGCTTTAAAAACTGGCGAAGGTAGCCCTGAACCAAAGACAAGTTTTCTGATCTGCCACCAAATGCATCACATTAGTTCTTCTTTGTGTGTTAATCCATCTTGTACTGATTGTCCCCTAGATCCTCGGTGAACCAAAGGAGAACCGGAAGCTGGCTGCAGAAATTACCCTTCAGAACCCTCTACCAGAGCCACTGGATAACTGCTGCTTCAGCATTGAGGGAGCCAACCTGACTGGAGGCAACATCATCTCTGAGAGGTTGTTTACTGCTATCCTTTAACTGCTATCTTTTTGCATATATCATAGATTAAGTAATATCAAAATTCCACTAAACTAAAACATCGCTGTGTTTGATGGAAGTAATTGCTTTTTTAATGTTTATAAAGAATTCCCCTTTGCTTTGCAACACCCAGATGTGCAACTGGAATACATGACAGCAACAGGTTGTGGAAGAAACAAAGATGATTTTAGATCATTTTTTGCTGACAGGAAATTTGCAGCTCTGCATCCTCTCCATCACAGAAACGATTTATCTGTTTATAGCCTTTTGTCTTTGAAATGTTTATGCAATCTGAGTTCCATGATAAAACCTTCAGTGAAGTGACATTTAAATGTTTCCCTTACAGGCTGGGCTGCACAGTGGGACCAGGGGAAGACGCCAAAGTTAAAATCTACTTTACCCCGACCCATTCTGGGTTAAGAAAACTGGTCGTCGACTTTGACAGCAACAAGTTGTGTCATGTCAAGGGCTACAGGAATGTCATTATTGGAAAATAATATGTTTTATAGATTTGAAGATGGAAACATTTTTAGTCAATTTTTCATAACTGTCTATGCATCTAAATATATTAATCGAAGCACATGTAGCATTTTTTCTTGCTGCAGACTGAAAAGATTGTTTCCTCTTGCTTTCTCCTCAAATACTTTATATAAAATTATTTTAATCTTGCTGTTTTGAAAAATGAATCTTATCTAATCACATTTATTAGTGCAAACTTTTTAACCTGCAATGTACTTTTTCATAGTCTGAAGCAAAGATAGCATGTTACTCTTGATAGTAGCTTTTTTGCATAAAACTTATTACATGAGAACTGAATATGCATCTGAGTTTGAGTCATATTTGGGGAACAATTGAAGCTGTATAACTTTAGCTAACTTGAAATAAACACATGTTAAACTAATGTGGCGATGCGTCTCTGAAAGTGGTATTTCTGTTAATCTATCAACTAAAAGTTTCTTCACCTTTAGCATGTCGCATGAAAGTAGTGGAGGTACCATTTCTTATAATCTGCTCCTCTCTCTGTACATTGTGCACACTTCACATTATTTACAGTCAGCTCCAAAAAAATCCAGTTCATTTGAAAAAATATGAACAGATTAACCCCTATAAAATACAGCTTAATAGAGCGTTGATGCACACTGTGATCCGGACACAAAGGCCTTTTATAGAAGGAAAGACCTTCATTAGAAATAGGCTCATTGTGAGGTGTTTTTTCAAGCATCATAAATAAAGAATCTTCTTAATGATTGTGTTCACTAGTGGTGTATGTGCTGTTGTAGTATAGTTCCTAGTTAAGTGCTGGTTTCCTTCTGGATATACCCTATGAAAATCAAATGAGCTAAAAGATCTTATTTCAGCACTCCATTATATTTTTGTCAGTTTTTCTAGTAATCTTAAGCACAATTTCTGCATTGCCTGCATGTACTTGTGCAGTTTTGATGCCATCTGGTGGTTGGAAAGATGAATTCATCAATGTTTAAAAGTAGTCTGGAGAGGTTGTGTGATGCTCGTGAGCTGGCAGCAACAACCTTTGAAACGCATGTTTTTTTTTTTTTTTTACTTTATTTATGTATAGTAAATGTTAGTAAAACCAAACATAAACCATGCAAAGCAGATAGGATTGCATGTATGCACTCTCCACCAATCTACTGTAGCCTTTCTGCTCAATAAAGATGGTTGTCCGTGCAATTTCTGTCTTTAAGCCAAAGCCATTAAAATAGCACAGAACTTCTCTCAGGCCTATGTTTTCTGAATGATCAGTTAACAGATCATGGTTTATTTTGTGAAAACTGATCTCAAATCATGCAAAGAAGAGCAAAAAAAATTTTGAATAATATTTTTAATTGATTAAAAAGCAGCAGCACAGTAAAAACATACATTAGCATGCCTTCCTATGCTGGGAACACAAATAAACAGTTAATTATAGATATAACATGAGTACCAGAATAAAGTTGATAGAGTCCGATCTTCAGTTTTGAATGCTAATATCAGAGCAAATCTTGTACAAGTCTTTTGATTAAAGGAAGCAAACACTTTAGTTGGCTTTAAGGAATCAAATAGCAGGAACTGAATGTTCTCTAAATTCATTTTAATTCAACTCATATAGCCAGAAGTATAACATCCATAAATCTTACATAACCAATAATTTATTATGCATTACTCAAAGACAGCATGAAATAATAAAAGGCAGATTTTTGCATGCACTGTAAGGCACAACCATTTTCTTTCACTTACATAGATCCGACTAACCTTTAGGTAATTTGGTCAGTTTGGATTTCCAAATTTTTTCTCTGCTAAATGCAAGAATAATGAAATGTAACATTTAATCGGAACTTTACATAAATTTATCTTTACCTCTGAACATTTTAGGAAACCCAAATGATAATGTTCTAACTTATAAAAGCTTTGAAATTGTTAATATATAGCATTTTTATTAACTAGAAACACACGTTAGAATTATTTTTAAAGCAACATTTAAAAAAAAACTTTTGAATATAATTGCTGACCTCCATAAATCTGGTTCGTACCTGATGATAGGTTCCAGTATCATGAAGGTATTGGAGAAACCAAATAAAGACACAACTACATCATGCAGCATAGGAGAGCCAGCACTTCTGGGCAAGATTTAACTATACTCTTGGACCTTAAAAAAAAAAAGACACACCTTTGATGACCAAAAAGATTTTCTATACTGTAGAGAGGAAAGATGGTGTAAAAAGAAGCCATAAAAGAAGGTGTAAAAGAAGCCATCTTTGTTAAAAAGGAAAAGCTGTCACTGAGTAACGGGGGAGGATTGAGGTTTCAGCTTACAATATTTTACAATTTGGTCCTGAAACTCATTCCAAAGAGATTACATAAGCTCACTTATCCTGACTGAAATGGCCACACACACAACCCATACAAAAAAAAAAGTCTCCAACAACCCAGGAGAACAGCAGGTGGGTCTTTTATCTGCATCTAACTTGGAATCTGCATAGAAAGATGGACCTCCATGGTGCTTAAATACATCAGCACTCAAACTGCAGGTTGCTTTTGTGTGAGCTGAAAGAACTGATAGGGATCTCTGGATAGATGCTGGAATTTTTTTGGAAAAAGTGAGCGAAAGTCAGTTTGCCTTCAATGTAAGCCTGTTAAGTGTTTTTTTACTTCTACAATATTTGCCTCAAACCCATCTTGTTGCGGCCCTAAGTAGCTGAGCAGTGACTGTTCCAGTTCAGTTATACTATTGGTGCAAACGATAAATGCTGTTAATGGATTTTGCTACTTGTAGAGGCTTTAACTGTCAACGCTCTGCATAAGCACAGGCCTCCGAATAAAGTCATCACGTCCTTAAATGCCTCGTCAGCACCAGCTTTTGCATCGCCAAGTCAGTGCCTTGAAGCAAGCAGCTTCAACTAAGGCTCCAACCCTAACCCAGGCATAAGAAGGAGCAACCCTCTGCTCACTGTCCGTTATTGAATAAGGCCAGGTTAGGCTAAGGTAGGCCATGCTAAGCTCTCATCCTGACCACACCCTTGATAAACCCAAACTGCTCATCCCCTCATTCAGCCCCACCTCTCAGGGTCTCTTCGGACATCCCACCTTCTTGTTTGGATTTGTCTTTGTTTCATTTTTCTGGGGGAATGTTTTTAACCGAGGAGAGTTGCAGTTTTAGGAGGGATAGGTCAAAATTCTTGCTAGAAGTTTTGAGTAGCAGGTGGTAGAAAGGTTAAAACGATCGACCCAAGACATGTAGTTTATATGGCAATTCTAATTCATACAAAACCATTTAAAATTGGAAACTTTTATTTGAAAGGTTTAATAAATATGTTGCTCATATCTCTTGTAACAGGCAAAATAATTCCAATCTACGTATAAACAGGAAAGGTTTGGTTTGATTAGATGACAGAGTATTTAAGGAAAGTGGTCATGTGTCTTTCTATCAAAGTTTTGTAAATACCTGGTATCTAATAACTGTATAGCCTGTAATCATACAAATAATCTTTGGCAAAACCAACAAAATAAGCTCACTTTACTTACTCTTTGCCATTACAGTTCACATAAGTTTAAAGAAACAGCATAAAACACACAAAAGTAACAAAATTAGAACAATATTAATAAAAATGCACTGGTACACAGAGCCCTCTAAATAACATTCAACAAGAGAGGATTCCAAGCAAAAAATCAAAATATTATATACAGAGTCCCTGTCCAGAAACTGCAGCTGTGTCCAAAATCATCAAACTGTGGCTTCTATCTCCTATTCCTTCACCTTTCATGCGGCAGACATCAAGATGTCTACCATGGGTAGGAAGGTATGCTCAGACCGCTGACAGCCTTTAACCTTAGGCACATCATCATGCAAAGAAAAAGCATGATGGAGGAGGATCCTAGTCGAATCAGGGATCACAGCCTTCTGGAAAAAAAAAAAACTAAAAAGAAAAGCAAGTTACCCAAATGTAGCAAACGAATTAAGTTCTCCACAATACATCCTTATATGACTGTGTGTCACACCGAGTGTGCTTAAAGCAATAATCACTGTAAACAGTACTGGTGCAGGATCTCTTCTCTCATTCATTTCCATGAGGCAGGCTGTGCTCATGTATGTCAGGCAAATGATTTTTGGGAATCCCTTTAGTGTACCTCCTTAGCCCCAGTGAGGGACCTCACAGGCTCCCTATGCTAAAGGAACTAGGATAGGAAGCATACCGATTCCTTTCCCTAACTTCTTCAAACCCTATTCAGGATTTATCATGGTGAACGCTAATTCACTTCCCCTTTGGATAAAGAGTCCTTACTAAGTTGATGATTTTGGACGCAGCTGATTTGTCATCAGGATGGTAATAGCTACTCTATTGAAAGCCCCTCTTAGGGGAGGAGACCAAAGTAAATGCAGACAGACAAAACGTTCGCTCTAAAGCACACAGCGCCCTCTGCAGTCAGTGTTGCTGTGAACAGATCTCTTGCTCAGATCGCGACCATTGGTCTGCTGTAATTGACTCCCTGATGAGTGTTGCTCTAGTTTCTGTGGCTGAGCATCATCAGTCCTGAAGCCTCTCAGGCTCAACTTGGAGATAGGCCTGGACATGGTAGCGCTGTTCCACGGGTCCACTGTAGTCAATGACATGACACTCGTAGGTGCCTTCATCTGCTGGTTTCACACTGGAGAGTCGAAGTTTGTGGGAGATGTTGCTGCCACCAACTTTTACTACCTGTGAAGGACAGAGACAGTGAGTCCTAAACATAAGACTGCTTGAGATTACATACTGCATCGCTTTAAAGGATCCCAGGATTTGGTTAGTTGACTTTAAACATATAACTTATAAAATATGGAAAATACAAAAGTTTTGCTGCTTTAAATTTCTTGAAAAAGTATGTATAGCATCCAAATAATTTTACAATAACACAACAAATTTTCTGTTTTATTAGAGTTTTATCTTTCTATAAAGGAAGGTTTACAAGGCTTTCGGGTTAATTGGATTGTGTTATGAAGAACCACAGTAGACAGGCTTAGGATGAAGTTATGGAGAAGCTTAAAACTGGATTAATTAATAAATATCCAAAGCCTCATCCATGCCACAGTCCCTAACACCGCGTAGACATGGCCATCCACCTAAACTAAAAGCTAACAAGGAGAGCAATAATCGGAGAAGCAGCTAAAAGACCTGTGCCAAAAAAGTTAAAAATCTACATATGAAAAGCCGGTATGGAGAAATACCAGTAACTGTAGAGAACATTAGTATTAACTCAGGCATATTTCACATCCTTTTCTATAAATAGAAAGATTTTAAAGAATCAGACACCAAAAATCTTCCCTCTTCACAATTTGGCATTATTTTCTGTCTATTCCAATAAAAAATCCTGAAGGTTGCTGTTGTAAAAAGATTAAAGGAAAAAATCCTCTCCTAATCACAAAGTTTC